CTCCTCATAAGACTTGTATGGACTACTCTTTGCCAAAAACAGATCTACAAAATCCCTCACTGGCTCATTCTGCCCAAGGACTGAACTGGGATCCCTACAGGACAACAGGCCCGTTGTCCCCAGACTCTGTCAGCCCAGACCATCTCAGTGGAGCACTCACCTCTGGCACGGGGTAGTAGTTGATGTCAATGATTTTGTTCAGGTTTCGGACAATAACTTTGGTGACCTCAGCCAGCTTCTGGAAATCGTAGGTGTGCTCCGAGGTGACGTACATGTTCAGGGCTATGGAGGCCAAATTACAAACCGCAACCTGGGGAGAAAACACAGTGAGAACAGGCACATCAGCCACCTCTACATGCAAGAAAAAAACCACTATTTCAGTCCCAGAGCATGCTCCCTGCCCAAACTACATGGACACAAAGAAGCAAACAGCATACAAGGCTGGAAAAACACACTCCTCATTTCTCTGCTTTCTTGAGTTGCAAAAACGGTAACAATAATTCAAAATCTTTAGCAGATATCAGTATCTATATATTAATTCAATTCTCTGGCCTGGTCAACCCTGTTGCCCATAAGCCATCCTTCCAGAAACTAAACCCAACCTTTTCTTGTGTTGCCAGAACCAGCAGCTGATCTCAGTGACATCCAGCCTATATTAGAGCCTTTTTTTTAACACTATATTATTTCCAACTCCAGGAGAATTGAAAGAAGTAAGCTACAATTTCTCCTAGAGTGCAGGCAGGCAAGATGGCTCTCCATCTCCTTGAGAATACTCAGGATTTTAAGAATCATAGAATGGTGGAGGTTGGAAGGGACCTTTCAAACCATGGAGTCCAACCATCAACCCACCACTGACAAACCCACCACTGACCCATGTCCCTCAGCACCACCTCTGCCCGGCTCCCAAATCCCTCCAGGGATGGGGACTCCACCCCTGCCCTGGGCAGCCTCTGCCAAGGCTTCCAACCCTTTCCAGGAAGAAATTCTTCCCAAGCTCCATCCTCAACCTCCTTTGGCACAACTTGAGGCTGTTTCCTCTTGTCCTATATGTCAAAGAACGTGAGCTCAAGAACAACTACTGGCTGCTCAGGCAGTAGAAACTGGTACTTTCAGTTAGAAGAGCCTCAAGAGCTTTACTGCACCAGGAACTGCCCACGCTCAATTAGCACTAACTCATTTCACAGAATCACAGAATCTTCTAGGTTGGAAGGGACCTTCAAGATCATCTTGTCCCAACTGTCATCTTTCCAGGTCCTTCCTTCGCCTTTGTGAGTAACGCTGCGGCTCAAGCCCAGCAGAGCCACAAAGTACCACGATTAGGGTAATACACAGGGAACTCCGGGGGATTGATGCTGAAATGTTAAATCTTGGGGTAGGAGAGGGATGGTTTTAGTAACTCATTGGCCACAGAGATGCTGACATCAGCCACCAGCAAGGCAAAGAGCTCACTTCTCCCTCAAGCTTTCAGCGGTTCAAAGTGAGTTCAGTGGTGGGTATTTTGTTTTGTACCAAATTGGAGACGAGGAGAGGGTTCTTCACTGGGAGGGTGGTGGAGCACTGGAACAGGTTGCCCAGGGAGGTGGTTGAGGCCCCATCCCTGGAGATATTCAAGGAGAGGCTCGACGAGGCCCTGGGCAACCTGGTCTAGTTGGGGGTGTCCCTGCTGACCAACTGTCATCTTTCCAGGTCCTTCCTTCGCCTTTGTGAGTAACGCTGCGGCTCAAGCCCAGCAGAGCCACAAAGTACCACGATTAGGGTAATACACAGGGAACTCCGGGGGATTGATGCTGAAATGTTAAATCTTGGGGTAGGAGAGGGATGGTTTTAGTAACTCATTGGCCACAGAGATGCTGACATCAGCCACCAGCAAGGCAAAGAGCTCACTTCTCCCTCAAGCTTTCAGCGGTTCAAAGTGAGTTCAGTGGTGGGTTTTGTACCAAATTGGAGACGAGGAGAGGGTTCTTCACTGGGAGGGTGGTGGAGCACTGGAACAGGTTGCCCAGGGAGGTGGTTGAGGCCCCATCCCTGGAGATATTCAAGGTGAGGCTCGACGAGGCCCTGGGCAACCTGGTCTAGTTGGGGGTGTCCCTGCTGACTGTGGGGGGGTCAGACTAGATGACCCTTGGAGGTCCCTTCCAGCCTGGGCAATTCTATGATTCTATGAAATCCTCCATGGGAGTTGAAAGAAGAAGGAATCCACACAGACTGAGAACATTCCCAGAATTTTCATAGCTACCCATTCCCTTCGCCAACCAACAGCCAGACGTACTCTAGGAATCTGCAGGAGGAGCAGCCACAGGTTTCCTACGTGCTCCAGGCTCCTGACCTCCACTTACCTCATCTTTGCTGGTGTACTCCACTATTTCTGTACACAGGTTGCTGCATTTGATGGTCCCCAAGTTCTGCTGGTTGCTCTTTCGGTTGCAGGAGTCTTTGTAGAGCATGTAGGGCGTGCCGGTCTCCGTCTGCGACTCGATGATGGCGTACCAGAGCTGCTGGGCCTTCACCACCCTGCGGACACGGCCTTGCTTCTCGTAACTGCAACAAGGGCACACATTAGAATCATAGAATTGTTCAGGTTGGAAGAGACCCTTGGGATCATCGAGTCCAACCATCTCCCCTACTCTACAAAGTCCTCCCCTACACCATGTCCCTCAGCACTGCATCTAAACGGCCCTTAAACACAGCCAGGGATGGGGACTCCACCCCCTCCCTGGGCAGCCTGTTCCAATGCCCGACCACTCTTTGGGTGAAAAATTCCTTCCTAATGTTCAATCTAAACCTCCCCTGTTGGAGCTTGAAGCCGTTCCCTCTCGTTCTGTCACTAATGACCTGCGAGAAGAGACCAGCACCAACCTCTCTACAGTGTCCTTTCACGAAGTTGTAGAGAGTGATGAGTAATTCCCAGGCTCTCCAAAACCAGCAGGGAAAGACAGAATCACAGAATAATATGGGTTGGCAGGGACCTCTAGAGACCACCCAGCCCAACCTCCTGCCAGAGCAGGTCCACCCTCAGCAGGTTCCACAGTAACATGTCCAGGTGGGTTTGAATGTCTCCAGAGAAGGAGACTCCACCACCTCTCTGGGCAGTCTCTGCCAGGGCTCTGCCACCCTCACAGCAAAGAAGTTCCTCCTCATGTCCAGGTGGAACTTCTTATGGTCAAGTTTGTGCCCATTTCCTCTTGTCCTGTCCCTGGGCACCACTGAAAAAAGACCAGCCCCATCCTCCTGACACCCACCCTTGAAGGATTTAGAGGCGTTGATCAGATCCCTCCTCAGCCTTCTCTTCTCCAGACTAAAAAGCCCCAGGTCCCTCAGCCTTTCCTCAGCAGAGAGATGCTCCAGTCCCTCATCATCCTCACAGCCTCTGCTGTCCCCTCTCCAGCAGTTCCCTGTCCTTCTGGAACTGGGGGGCCCAGAACTGGTCCCAGTGCTTCAGCTGGGGCCTCCCCAGGGCAGGGCAGAGTAGAAGGGCAGGATGACCTCCCTCTACCTGCTGGCCACGCTCTTCTTGATGACCCCCAGGATGCCATTGGCCTTCTTAGCCACAGGTTATGTTGGTGGCTCATGGTCATTCTGTTGCCCACCAGGACTCCCAGATCCCTCTCTACAGAGTCCCTCTCTACAGAGCTGCTTTCCAGTAGGTCCCCCCCAACCTGTCCTGGTCCATGGGGTTATTCCTCCCCCAGTGCAGGACCCTGGACTTCCCCTTGTTGAATTTCATCAGGTTCCTCTCTGCAGGGCAGTTCTTTGAAGGGATCACCACCACTTGAAAATCCATTCACTTCTCTTACCTTTCGTACAGTTTCTCAAATTCCTCTCCCCAAACCTCATCCAGGCCAGGACACTCATTGGGACACATTAGGGACCAGTCCTGTAAAAAGGGAAATACTTTCTCTTGAATATTTTTCAGCACCCTGTTAATTAAAGTCTCAGCTTCATCAGCACATCCTGCTGTAAACAGGAACCCAGAAACTGCACTTACCATAGAATCATAGAATCATAGAGTTGTCCAGGCTGGAAGGGACCTCCAAAGGCCATCTAGTCCCACCCCCCCGCAGTCAGCAGGGACACCCCCAACTAGACCAGGTTGCCCAGGGCCTCGTCGAGCCTCTCCTTGAATATCTCCAGGGAAGGGGCCTCAACCACCTCCCTGGGCAACCTGTTCCAGTGCTCCACCACCCTCACAGTAAAGAACCCCCTTCTAATCTCCAATCTAAATCTGTTCCCCTCCAGCTTGAAGCCATTGCCCCTCGTCCTGTCACTGCAGGCCTTTCTAAACAGGTTCTCCTGTTTACCATCCTGAGAAACCAGGCACCACCTCTCCCAGCAGATGTGGGGAAGATGTCCATCAGACTAGTCAGATTGAAAAATTACTTACATGAACATTGATGACCAAATCGCATTTTTTGTCTTGAAATGACCGGCTCTCAAGCCACAGCCCATTTTACAGCAAATACAAGCAGCCTTATGATGATCAATTTACTGAGAAGATGTTGATGCTTTAAGGAAATTCCAGATTAAAAATTTAGTGTTAGTGGTATCAGCACAGAAGTCTGAGATTCAGCACTGAAGCAAAGTGTCTCACTGGAGTTCCACAAGTCCATTCTCTACCAGCACAGCCAAGTTCTCAATAAGGTGCAGCAGTTCCTTCAAGAAGCTCCTTTGCTGCTCAGAAGAGAGCTCTGGAACCGTTCACAAATTTAATCTCAGGGTTCATCACCTGGTTCTCCATTAACAGACCCATTCTGCGCCAATCAAGGTGATGCTTTAAGGAAATTCCAGATTAAAAATTTAGTGTTAGTGGTATCAGCACAGAAGTCTGAGATTCAGCACTGAAGCAAAGTGTCTCACTGGAGTTCCACAAGTCCATTCTCTACCAGCACAGCCAAGTTCTCAATAAGGTGCAGCAGTTCCTTCAAGAAGCTCCTTTGCTGCTCAGAAGAGAGCTCTGGAACCGTTCACAAATTTAATCTCAGGGTTCATCACCTGGTTCTCCATTAACAGACCCATTCTGCGCCAATCAAGGTTCTCACCTGGTTGGTTTCAACTCGCTTCATGAAGAGATCAGGAATCCAGAGGGCAAAGAAGAGGTCCCTGGCTCGCTGCTCCTCTTTCCCAGTGTTCTTCTTTAGGTCAAGAAACTCAAAGATGTCCAAGTGCCACGGCTCCAGGTAGATGGCAAAAGCCCCAGGTCTCTGAGACATAAAATATAGTCAAGATCAGAACAAATTGCCTTCGAAAAGAAAATCTCCTGCGCTGCTCCCCAGCACAACACAATACCCGAAACTGAGCTTAGTTTGAAGTCTCCTTAAGGCAATTTCAATGTGCTTTTTTGTGTTACTGTTGCTCTTGCTTATTAAAACTAGGCCACGTTACTAGTTCCACATTCTCCATAAAAATAATTTAGTACCGAAAATGTATTTTCTCTGTGTAAACATGATTTGGACAAATCTTAGATTTACTTCTCGTGTCAGTCTCGCATTGACCTCTGGACTACGTGGAGAGAAAAGGACACAGATCAAGAAGCCTCCTACAGTCTCACACTGTAATTCACAACAGGGCGTGCAAGGAGTAACCAGCACCAGAGGCTGATCTAACACGTGTGCACATCACACAGCAGAATATACCAAGAGACATATCTGCCTGATAAACTGCACAGTGAGAGGGGAACACCAGAATCATAGAATCATTGAGGTTGGAAGAGACCCTTGGGATCATCGAGTCCAACCATCTCCCCTACTCTACAAAGTCCTCCCCTACACCATGTCCCTCAGCACTGCATCTAAACGGCCCTTAAACACAGCCAGGGATGGGGACTCCCCCCCCTCCCTGGGCAGCCTGTTCCAACGCCCGACCACTCTTTGGGTGAAAAATTCCTTCCTAATGTTCAATCTAAACCTCCCCTGTTGGAGCTTGAAGCCGTTCCCTCTCGTTCTGTCACTAATGACCTGTGAGAAGAGACCAGCACCAACCTCTCTACAGTGTCCTTTCAAGTAG